TTCGGATTTACGCCCTTCATCACAACTCTGCGGTTGTGAACTCAGAAATAAATACAGGGTGGGTGGGGCTGCGTAAAGGTAGGTGGGATGGTGACAGGTGGATGCAGATATGGTTTGTGGAGACAGGTCATGGGAAGGGTAGGACGGATAGGAGAGAAAGAAGATGGATAGGTTAACATAGAACATAGAACATTACAGCGCAGTACAGGCCCTTCGGCCCTCGATGTTGCGCCGACCTGTGAAACCAATCTGAAGCCCATCTAACCTAAACTATTCCATTATCATCCATATGTTTATCCAATGACCATTTAAATGCCCTTAAAGTGGGCGAGTCTACTATTTTTGCAGGCAGGGCATTCCACGCCCTTACTACTCTCTGAGTAAAGAACCTACCTCTGACATCTGTCCTATATCTATCACCCCTCAATTTAAAGCTATGTCCCCTCGTGCTAGCCATCACCATCCGAGGAAAAAGGCTCCCACTGTCCACCCTATCTAATCCTCTGATCATCTTGTAGGTCTCTATCAAGTCACCTCTTAACCTTCTTCTCTCTAACCAAAACAGCCTCAAGACCCTCAGCCTTTCCTCATAAGACCTTCCCTCCATATCAGGCAACATCCTGGTAAATCTCCTCTGCACCCTTTCCAATGCTTCCACATCCTTCCTATAATGCGGTGACCAGAACTGTACGCAATACTCCAAGTGCGGCCGCACCAGAGTTTTGTACAGCTGCAACATGACCTCATGGCTCCGAAACTCAATCCCTCTACCAATAAAACCTAACATACTGTACGCCTTCTTAACAACGCTATCAACCTGGGTGGCAACTTTCAGTGATCTATGCACATGGACACCGAGATCTTTCTGCTCATCCACACTACCAAGAATCTTACCATTAGCCCAGTACTCTGTATTCCTGTTACTCCTTCCAAAGTGAATCACCTCACACTTTTCCGCATTAAACTCCATTTGCCACCTCTTAGCCCAGCTCTGCAGCTTATCTATGTCCCTCTGTAACCTGCAACATCCTTCCGCACTATCCACAACTCCACCGACTTTGGTGTCATCCGCAAATTTACTAACCCATCCTTCTACGCCCTCATCCAGGTCATTTATAAAAATGACAAACAGCAGTGGCCCCAAAACAGATCCTTGAGGTACACCACTAGTAACTGAACTCCATGATGAACATTTCCCATCAACCACCACCCTCTGTCTTCTTACAGCTAGCCAATTTCTGATCCAAACTACTAAATCACCCTCAATCCCATGCCTCCGTATTTTCTGCAATAGCCTACCATGGAGAACCTTAGCAAACGCTTTACTGAAATCCATATACACCACATCAACCGCTTTACCCTCATCCACCTGTTTGGTCACCTTCTCGAAGAACTCAATAAGGTTTGTGAGGCACGACCTACCCTTCACAAAACCGTGTTGACTATCCTTAATCAAATTATTCCTTTCTAGATGATTATAAATCCTATCTCTTATAATCCTTTCCAACACTTTACCCACAACCGAAGTAAGGCTCACTGGTCTATAATTACCAGGGTTGTCTCTACTCCCCTTCTTGAACAAGGGGACAACATTTGCTAGTCTCCAGTCTTCTGGCACTATTCCTGAAGACAATGACGACAAAGATCAAAGCCAAAGGCTCTGCAATCTCCTCTCTAGCTTCCCAGAGAATCCTAGGATAAATCCCATCCGGCCCAGGGGACTTATCTATTTTCACCCCTTCCAGAATTGCTAACACCTCCTCCTTATGAACCTCAATCCCGTCTACTCTAATAGACTGTATCTCAGTATTCTCCTCGACTACATTGTCTTTTTCCTGTGTGAATACTGACGAAAAATATTCATTTAGCACCTCTCCTATCTCTTCGGACTCCACGCACAACTTCCCACTACTGTCCTTGACCGGCCCCAATCTTACTCTAGTCATTCTTTTATTCCTGACATACCTATAGAAAGCTTTAGGGTTTTCCTTGATCCTACCTGCTAAAGACTTCTCATGTCCCCTCCTGCCTCTTCTTAGCTCTCTCTTTAGGTCCTTCCTGGCTAACTTGTAACACTCAAACACCCTAACTGAGCCTTCACGCCTCATCTCTACATAAGCCTCCTTCTTCCTCTTGACAAGAGATTCAACTTCTTTAGTAAACCACGGTTCCCTCGCTCGACCACTTCCTCCCTGCCTGACAGGTACATACTTCTCAAGGACACGCAGTAGCTGTTCCTTGAGCAAGCTCCACATTTCAATTGTGCCCAGCCCCTGCAGTTTCCTTCTCCATCCTATGCATCCTAAATCTTGCCTCATCGCCTCATAATTGCCTTTCCCCCAGCTATAACTCTTGCCCTGCGGTATATACCGATCCCTTTCCATCGCTAAAGTAAAGTTATGTCAGGTCAAGGAGGTGGAGATGAGAGGGAGGGTTGGACATGGGCTGAGGCTGGGGTTGGGGAGTCCTTGAACCTGAATTCTATGTTGAGGCCATCGGGCTGTAAGCTCCTGAGGCGGAATACGAGGTGTTTTTCCTCCAGTTTACGTGTGGCATCATTGTGACACTGGAAGAGGCCCAGGATGGATACTTCACCAAGGGAGTGGAAGAGGGAGTTAAAATGGATGGCAACCAGAAGTGCTATTGATTATAGCATACAGAACTACCCTCTGGGTAGTTAGGGATGAACAATAAATGCTGGTCCAGCCAGCAATGCTCACATCCCATAAAGAATGTTTTTAAAAATTGAACTTATATTTGCGTGGCATCTTTAATGTAATAATGTGTTCCTGTAAAGCACCTTGGGATATCATTCAGAGATGAATAAAAGGCATGAGGAAGTATTAGGTCAGCTGGCCAAAATGACAAAAGCAAGGCAGACAAAGGGAAGAGCTGTAGGGAAGGAACCCTAGAGCTTAGGGCCCAAGTAAGAACATGGCCACCAATAATGAAACAATTAATTAGAGATGGTCAAGAAAATAATGAACCAAAGTCACCCAAAGCAATGAAACACCTTGGTTCTCAGCGAACATGACACCCCATTAAAGTGAACATGGTTCCTGGTCTGTGGGCGTCAGGTTACGGTGGTGACATAAAAAACTTTCCAGGCACGCACTGAAATGCCAAATATAAAAACAAAACAGAAACGTGACTGTTAACTTGCCACACAAAGAAACATTCCCTGATGTCCACCTCCTTCTGCAGCAAGCACCAATTCGATGGTACCTTTCTCATAAGGGTTCCATGAACAGCCACTGACAATAGGGAGGCAGCAAAATAAGTGTCACGTAGCTATTCACTCATAGATATTATCACAGGTGTGCTCCATTGGACCCACACCCTGTGTCAGTATATACTTGCATGCCAGGGAGGAGTCATTAAATTGTGATCAGAAATGGAAATTCTTTCTCAAATACAAACTCTATAGAAGTATGCAGCACAAAAACAGATAATTCAGCACAAGTTCAAACCTTCTCGCGACTCATTGAAAATCTTGATCAGCTGCTGATCCTCAAATTTCACCCGAGTTTCTTTACAAGACATCCTCCCTCAACCTTGGCAGTGAAATCACTGGGATGACCAGTCATTCAATCCCCATCTTATCTGATCTTTATTTCCCCTGGACAAACGTCTCCATTTCAGCTCTCACAGCTACATGCATTTGCTATTCCATAAAAGCAAAATACCACCTGTGGATGCTGGGAATCCAAAATGAAAGCAGAAAATGCTGAGAGCAATTGTTAACATTTCAACTGATTGGACTCTTCTTCACACCTGCTGAATTGTTCCAGTATTTCCTATTTTTGTTGCATTTTTATCCCTTGCCTCCTAGCTTTGCCTCCCTCCTCACTTGGTGTCAGATTGTTGTTAAGGTCATCTTAGACCACTTCCTTGTAACCTGATCACTCTTTTACCTCACATCTTTCTACATTTACTCCAGGAAAATGAACTTTATCCCAAGTCAGTTGCCACTGTACTTTCAAATTCAAGACCAAGAAGCAAAGACCTCTGTGTAGCTTGGTCAATTGTAGGCCAGATATGTACTTAGATCAGATCAACAGCAAAGACCCTGAGTACTCTACTAAGCTTCCCCAATATACCATAAGTATGCTGAAAGAAAAAAAAACCTCAATAAAAAGTTTCCACCAATTACCTCCTTGAAACCCTCTTCCTCAGCCCTCTCTACCTTCAACAAGTTTGAGTGACTCATTAATTACTTAATGATTTAAATTCGAGATTATCCATTCAGTTACATCTGCTGTTTCTATCTTTCCCTTTAAATGAGCTGAAGGTTTCCACCTCAAAACACCCAGCTGGGCAGTGATTACACATAAACAAAATGTGTTTAGAACATATACAAACACACACACGCAATTTTTGAATCTCCAAGATCAAACCTTTAAATACACAAGTCTTACTTAAAACACAAATCCGTGCCCGGATCACCAAAACAAAAGCTCGTGACTTTGATCCCATTAACTTATCAGTAAATACTAACCAGAATACACTGTAACCCAAAGCGATTTTTTACACCCGTCAGTTCTTAATGGTCACAAAGTTATCAGTAATAATGGACTGCACAGCACAATCTCACATTACCCACCTTGGTCGATCCACCTTTATTTTAAGCAAGACTAAACACATAACCGGCAATGCAAAAAGCGCATCCCTCCCCCTGCTTTGTTGTCTAACATTAATCTTCGAGAGCGATTGGATTTGTTGCGCCCGTTTCTGTTTTGCTTTCAATTTAGCTTCTAGGCCAAAGTCCCCTTTCTCAACCTAAATGTCGGTACTTCCTTTCCGAAACAAAAAGCTTTCAGAACTGGCGGGGGGAGGAAAAATATTAACTTATCGCTGTTAAAATAAGAAGGTCCACTTAATGGAATCTCTGCATGGGAAAAGGGAGTCCCAGTCCAAATAGATACAATGTAACAGAGACACTAGCAACTAAACTATGTGTCTATTTCAATGTAATACAACATAGACTGATCACTACTTACAGATCGCAATGTTTTCCACGAGGTATTAAAATGGATTTAGCAGCTCGCTTCCACACCTCAAGACGAACATATCTCTTGCCTGCCTGTCTCTTTCTCTCTAGGGCAGCTTTATGGATTTGTACAGGGTCAGCAAATCACCTGACTGCAGCCTCCTTCCACACAGACTCAGCACAGGAGCAGTTTCCTGCTGGACGGGCCCTTCCGCACCCAACCCCCGTCCAAACTTTTGGCACTGTCTCCAAAATGCACAACAATATCGCCGACGAAACGGTCAAGGCAATAAGACAGAATAACTCGCTGAATTATACAACACAAAAGGAAATCGTTCGGACCATCGTTCTAATACTAACTCTTTCAATGAGCGGTTGCCTCCCATTCACACATGGCTTCGATTTTGTTCCCTTCTAAATAAATGCATGTTGAAAAGAAACAGGATCTTTAGCTCAATTTACAGGTTGACTGGTCCGCAGTACATATTAACAACAGTGTGGGTTCATTTCCTGCACTACCTGAAGTTACCACGAAGAACTCTCTTCAACCCAGGTGACCTTCAGGTTAAACTGTGATGATTTTACCCTGTAATATTAACGAAACATATATAAAGCACTTTTTCAGTACCTCAAAGTATCTGAACACACTTGATAGTAAATTATTTCTTCAGCAGTCATTCTTCATACGTAGGAAAACCAGCAGCCAATTTGAGCATAGCAAGCTTCATGAAATGATAACAACTAGTTAATAAAGTGTTAGTGATGCTGGCCCAGGATACCATGGAGAACGCCCCTGTTCTTCTTCAACAGAACATCATGAGTTTTCTTGTGCCCACTCATGACAGGTCGTACATATCAATTTAACACCTCATTTAGAACACTTCCTTATCCCCAGGGGAGAAAAATGAGCAGAAAGTAATAGCGGTGGAAGGAGGCACATGTGGAGCATTAACACTGACACAGATTAAATGAGCCAAATGACTTGTTTTTAGATAAATATGTGCATAACAATGTCAGCAGTCTAAGGGTTAATCATCACCATTTAATCAATGTTTTGAATACCATAATACTTGGTGGGTCATAGGTGAATGTGACTAAATTTGGGTGACTCATGGACAGTGTAAATAAAAATATACTTTAAAAAGAATGGTTTAGAAAGGGAAATTGATATAACCATGAGCTCACAACTTGACACTAGAATGCATCGTTGTAATATTAAGAAGTGCAAATTACCAAAATTAATATTGATTTTCTTGTTGCTTTTTTTCTACCTATACTACTTATGCCTGATAATAAAGCCATTTAATTTGTAACTGTGGGGACAATAACAGCACCTGTCAAAGTCTTTAGCAATAGAGATCCTCTTACTCAAATTTGGGGAATTAACATTTTTAAAAGCAGTTTTTTGATCTTCTCCACTTCGTTTTGTCTAATATCTCTAATATTCAAAACTGCAATTTTTTTTAATGGGATGGTAAATACCCATATTTATTGCCTATCCCTAAATGCCCTTGAACTGAATGGCTTGTTGGGCCATGTCAGAGGCTAGTTAAGAGTCAACTGTGGGTCTGGAGTCACAAGGAGGCTCGATCAGGTAGGCTTCATTCACAGAGATCATTGCTGAACCAGACAGGTTTTTCTAAAATGGTCAACAGAATCATAGAATCCTGACAGTGTAGAAAAAGGCCATTCCGCCTCACAAGTCCAAACCGACTCTCCAAAGAGCATTCCACCCTATCCCTGTAACCCTACATATCCCATGGCTAATCCACCTAATTTATACATCCCTGGACAGTATAGGCAATTCAGCCTGGCCAATTCACCTCACCTGCACCTCTTTGGACTGTGGGAGGAAACCGGAGTACCCAGAGGAAACCCATGCAGACACAGAGAGAATGTGCAAACTTCACAGAGGTCAGCATCGCTGAAATGGAGAATGAGAATTATGAGTTGCAGAGGGGTTTAGATGTTCCAGTACATGAATCACAAAATGTCAGCATGCAGATATGGTACATTAACCAAGAATGCTAAGAGGATGCCAACTTTTATTACAATAGCAATTGAACAAAGAAGTAAGACTAGTATGTTTCAGTTGTATAGGCATTGCTGAAATCAAATATGATGTGCAGTTTTGGTCTCTTTACTTATGGAGGTGGTTTAGAGGAGGGTTACTAGATTGATACCTTATTGGTTGCCTTATGAGGATAGAATGGATAGATTTGTTTCCACTGGAGTTTGGAAAGCTGAGAGCGATTGACTTGATTGAAGTGTATAAGATCCTGAATGGTCTTGACAAGGTAGCCGTGGAAAGGATGTTTCCTCTTGTGGGTGTGTCCAGAATGAGAAGATACTGTCTTAAAATTAGGGGTTAAAATTGTTTCAGAGATAGTAGGAACTGCAGATGCTGGAGAATCTGAGATAACAAGGTGTAGAGCTAGATGAACACAGCAGGCCAAGCAGCATCAGAGAAGCAGGAAGGCTGACGTTTCGGGCCTAGAAACACACTTCTGTTTGCACATTTCTGAAGAAGGGTCTAGACCCGAAATGTCAGCCTTCCTGCTCCTCTGATGCTGCTTGGCCTGCTGTGTTCATCCAGCTCTACACATTGTTATCTTAAAATTAGGGGTCCCTGTTTTAGGAGTTTCTTTGTTTCTCGTGGAAGGTTGCGAAGACAATGAAGGTGAGATCATTGAATATTTTAAGATGGAGTTGGACAGATTCTTGTTAGGTAATGGAATCAAATGTTATTGGCGGTAGAGTATGAATATGGAATTCAAAACATAAACGGATCTGCCATGATCTGTTTGAATGACAGAGCAGGCTCGAGGAGCCAAATGGTCTACTTCCATTCCTGTTTCATATATTTGTAAAAGACCATCCTTCTCTTCCAGATTTATGAATTGAATTTAAATTCCACCAGCTGTCAAGGTGTCCTCAGTCCTCAGAGGATCAGCCAGGTCTCTGCATTACACATCCAATGTCATTACTACAAAGCCACCAACTTTTCTTGAGTACAGAAAGTATTTCAAAGGGAAAGCATAGCATACTATCTTATATAAATGTTAACAGGAGATCATTAATGTTATCTTGCTAATGTCTTTCAGACTGGAGATATAACCTCAAGCCTTTAATTTAAAAGAACATTTTAAAAATGAGCTAGAATAGGCCACACAGCCTCTTGATCCTGCTCTACCACTCTCTGTAAGAATATGATTGATTTTGTATCTCATCTCTAATTTTCCAACCATCTCAGACCAGAATATGTCAATGATTATCAGCAGCCGTCTGAATTTTTTTAAATCAACCTGTTCAGATATATTATGGCATATCTGGATCAGATGGGACTTGAATCCAGGCCTACAACTCCAACACTAGAACTGCACCACAGTACCCCAGCCCACTGGATTGGGCATTTTTAATCACCCTCTTCAATCATGTTATTACGCATGCCTGAGGCAGGTGTGATTTGGACATGGACCTTCTGTCCCAGAGATAGGGACACTACCACTGCACTATAATAGCTCCAGCTCTCTGGATTCTAGGATTCCAAAGATTCGCAACATCTGTTCATGTCTCCGTATCCCTTAATAACCTGTTACATTACTGACTGTCATGGGAAAGTGTTTAAGGGTCAAAAGCTGTCTGTGTTTGAAGCTAAATACTGTCCAGGTACAGATAATCAAATGGTGGGATAATTCAGAGTTACTTCTCAGTTGCTTCTGTTAAGGTTACAGAGAGATGTGATTGTTGTAATAGATATTATCCTGCTGGAGAAGATGGGCGCACAAGCCACGTGTTCTAATTGATAAAGAGAGCTGGTCTCAGTGTTCATTCCCATCAAAGGATTAGTTGAGTTTGTGAAGTCTATTGAATCTTCAATGTGTTCATTAACACCACTGTGTGTCAAGCAAGAAACTGGAGACATTTTAGAACTTGTAGCAATACTAGCAGCAAACAACAGGCAGTAACATATAAGTCCCAGCCTTGGTGGAGGTGATTGGGTAATGTTCCCATCAACTGCACTGGGAGACTACACAAATGTAAGCAATCAGAAGTGATTTTATGCACATAATTTGTAGGGGTCTTGTGGTAGTGTCGCTATCTCTGGACTGGGAGGCTAGGTTCAAATCACACCTGCTCCAGAGGTATATAAAATCATCTTTAACAGGTTGATTAGAAAATATCTGCAGGTAATTTGTGGGGAACAATCCACCCTGCGAGTCCTTCCATTAAGTTTCATTCACAATCACAAGCAAGTTAACCTTTGCAATTTTGGTGATTCTATGCTTATTAACATTGTCTCCCGTTATCTTTCTCATTCTTTATGACTGTCACCATTTCTGATGGATATGTCTCTTAGTCTTTTCCATTTCTCTGTCTCCTTTCTGTAAAATTCGCAAATGTCCCACTGTAAGGAAATCTACAAGACTTCGTAATCTTGTTCGGGTTGCTACTGAGTTAAGAAAATGAAATTGTGGTAGAGGCATAATTTTACATTTTCATTCATTTACTTGATTGTAAGTAGGTGGCAGATTCCAAAGCAGATTTTAATCATCATTGCACTTTATATAGTAATAGGAGGGGGTCAGCCTGCCCCTCAAAACTGTCTTGCCATTTAATTAGGTCTTGACCGCTTCTCTGCCAGAATTCTGCATGTCTCATGTAGCTAGCAAAATATTCTTTGGATTCACGTTATTTAGGTTGTCTTAGTGCAGGGCAACACAAAAGCCAACTAGTTACAGCATCTTATACTGAAGCATACACAGGCTACATTCCAAAATATTTCACATATTCATTATGTACATTTTAATACCAGGATTTTTATTTAAAAAGTTCTTGTTCATCCTTACATCAAACAGGTACTGAAGTGTGCAACATGATTTTCAATCTTAATAGAAACTTAAAAGGAATACAATAACATTTTAATTATCCAATGACTTTGTTGAACAGCAACACCAACTGTTACTAAACAATAAACTAACTCATAAAATTGTGCAGCAATTTTAGAAAGTACGTATTATTCACATATACATGACCGCATTGCTCAGCACAAGCTGGAAGAATAGCATCTCATCTTCCACTTGGGAATCATGCAGCCTTCAGGACTCAATATAAAGTTCAACATTTTGAACCTTAACACCTTGTTTCATGCCTTTTACCCACTCCCATACCCAGGTTCAGTCATGACACAGTCTTCTTTCAGCACAGCCAATCCATTTTTTCATACTTATGG